GTTTTTTCTGCTAACTCTAGTCTACTGTAGTTCCGGTAAAGAATGTCAATAATCCAGATTCCTATCTTTTTCCTGGGTTAGAAAATTTAAAAATAAATTCATCAGGCTAGCATTTCTCAACTTTTGGGAAATGTGGTTTGGAAGGATGGGGGTTGAAAGAAGAAAAGGGATGGATTAAATATACCAAATCAAGGTCTACTTGCCCCATCCCATCAATTGGACAATCGTGAAAGCTCACTGGAGATTGGTCTATCACAAAATGGAATTAGGCAATCCCAGTTTAATTAACAGAGTGACAGCATTTGAGCATTTGCACAGGAACCCAGCATATAATTTCTATCTTGAAGGGAGGAAGAATTGTTTCAAGAACCACCTCACATACTATCATTGATACACAGCAAATGGCTGGCATATATTGTTTTAAACCTCTCATGTAACTGTTCAGCAGAGATATGTGATATTGCTTGGTCAGACATAAAACAGTTTGTAATCTTCAGCCCTCCATTACAATCCTTTAAAGTGAGCTCAAATGAAAATGGGAGTAACATGCTAATCTAGAAAACGTTTTCATAACATGCAATACAATAAGAGGTTGAATTTTCTATCACCATTGCTAATTTCACCCATTTGTTTCTCATTACAATAAGTAAACAAGATTAAATGGAAAATCTTACAGTTCACAGAGTACATTACACAGCAGAAATGTCTGTAGCGAATACAGACTTAGTGTCTTAACTAACTTATGTGCCTCTAAGTGACTATTTCTCCCTGCCTATGAAGTTTTTACAGTTTTAAAGTTATACTGGCAGGTTCCAGTCAACAAGGATGTCTGCAATGGCCTTCTTTCTCCAATACATTGCTTTTAGTCTAATTGCATATTTGCAGTTTCAGCAAGCAGAGGGAAGAATTTTATTCTCTTTGCCTTGTCTCTGAATACTAACTAGCTGGCCCAGCCAAGACTTGCTAAAGAGAGAAACTGCATGAGAGACACACTGCATTTGACACAGTCAAGAGGTAAAAGAAAGAGCAAAACAAAAGTCTATTCAGGACTGAGTTCTCTGATATTCTCCGCCATCCCCCAGCTCCTTTAAAAATGAAATGAAAGGGGGGAAAAACCCATAAATCCATGCCTGAATGCCTAAGGTTGTCAGAATAAAGGACAATGAATGACAGGTGACTGTCAGTATAATTCTCAGTCTCCAAGTTATCACTTTTTGGCATTGTTGAACAAAAAACGTGTATACATACAAGGAACTATGTCGTAAGTTCTCTGTGAATGCACAGCGTTCAACACAGGGGAAGCAGCTAAGTATTTCCACATGGCCATGTGGGTTTCTTTTCAGTTCCATGTATTTCTGCTGGAAAATGTTCTCAAATTATTAAGTGTTTTTCTAGTGACAACAAGGCTTAATGACATTGGGGAAACTACTGACGGGTTATGAACCTGCTTTTCACTTCTTCTTTTAAAATTTGTTTAAAGAATGTGAGATCTGACTTGATAAAATTCCTTGCACATGTTGCTAAAATTTTTAAAAAGGAGTAAGAGCCAACTGATGAGAGTTTTTCCGTTTGATTTGTAAAAGCCTCCTCTCAAGCTATTTTCCCCCAAGATCTCTTTACACTTTCATCTTCAGAGACTGCCTTAATCCTCCTGTCTTTGTTGTTCCAATGTCTGATCGGTCTGTTTTATAGTTGCATCTACCCCACACTTGCTAGAACTGAAACTTGACTTACGGCGCTTGAACTTAGAAATCCCTACAAACGTGCAGGCTTTTCAGAGAAAGGTGGAAAGTGCTGGAAAGGTTTAGATGATTATTTAAATAATGTATATTAAGTCATCTGTTGTGTGATCTACAGGTACAGAGAGATAACAAAAGTGAAATGAGAGAGTAATTTGTAATTAAAATAAGTCTGGCCTCTTCTCAGATTACTGGAGCACTCCAGTTTGTTGACCATCTGTAGTAGAAAGACAAAGATTCTCTTCTCAGTTCCACTGGGCTGGGGAAGAGACTCACCTGCCCAGAACCCAAAGTTTCTTGGTCTTGCCATGGTGGGCATAAGAGGGAATTCTGTGGCCAGCCTTCGGATGCTGGCGTAGCCAGGCGTTGGGCAGAAGGAACGCAGAGACAGTGATCTGTGTCACTCTAAGCACTCACAGGGCACCATTAAGGCAGAGCTCAGTTGCTGTTACCGCCCCAGCAGGTGCCAACTACACATTCTAAAATCTAAGAATTTTCCTTGATTGCATATGAAATATATTTTGCACAAATAAGTGAACTAGATTGCTGGACTCTTTTTATTTTCACTTACAGTAGCTATAACCCAAACTGTAATATTTGAGTATTTATTTCAGAAGGTTGAGCAGAAATAATTATATGCCTCACCTGAAAATGTTTTTATAGAGTCTTTATTGGTATTAATTATAATCCAACAACTTTTTTTGATGGTCTTCCTTCCTGAAAAAAACTCCTAAGGAAAATAATGTTCAAAACTCTAAAATAATTGATATTGATAGGTTTATAGCTATTAAACTTGAAAGTCACAGATAAAATTGTTTTAGAAGTCAGAATTCTAATGTTGTCTTTGGTTATTAGAAAATTCCTGGGCATGAAAGTTATATAGGACAGTGAGATGAGACAAAAATTTAAGAAGAAATAAGAGGCCAACTTTCAACTTTTAACAAACAAAATTAACTATATGCATGTTTAAAGAACCAATTTATTTTTGGAGGGGCGATGAGCTGAAATGACCCAAAATTAAAGATTTTATTCAGCAATTGCATGAAAAATCTGTCCTAATGGGAGTCAGAAAGGAGTTAGAATTATGTTGTGAATAGTAAACTACTTCAACTAGAACCACTTCAAAATGAAGATGTTTTAAAAATTCTTCATATCATTTATGTTTAATAAGATACCCACAGTGTAGTTGAGGAATTCTAATTATTTTGAAAAGTAATGCCCTATGGGTCTGTAATATCTTGACAATTCCTGGTAAGAGTTCAAGGAAAACCTCAGAATCATAGAAATGGAGAAATTAATGTAGACCACCATCACCATGAAATAATAGAAAGGTTCCTATATTTTCTGAATAAGAATTATTTTCTGAACTCTTTAATTCTATGCAGCTATTAAGTTCTATGAAGTTAATTTCTTTCTTTAATGACAAAGAGCAAGGTGGCCAAGAAATGAAATATCCAGCTGACAGTCATTCTTAAATAGTAAGTGATAAATTCTTTCTCTCTGAAATCAATTCAGGCTAAATGAATTACTAACTGCATTTTAGCCAATACTCAAGTTCTAGGTTATAATGATGCAGTGTCAGGGCTGAGGAATGGAGCAAATGATGACGTGAATGGTAGACAGGGATGTAGGGAGGCTGAGGTAAGGCTTGTCCTCCCAACTGACAGAAGGGAGGTTTAGAATAGGTCTTGGAGGGGAGGAAGGGCCTGGCTGGAAGAGGAATGAAAGGAGCAAAGACACAGATCAGAGGATGAATCTAGGTAAAAAATACCTAAACCCTGACTTTTCCTTTGCACAGATAGATAGGTAGGTAAGTAGGTAGGTTAGGTAGATAGACAGACAGATGGATATGGAATGGAGAACCTCGTTTTGGGATGTGAAATTCTGTGACAACATTCTAGGAAAGTTTATTATTTTCATTTGTATCTTTTAAATTTTATAAAGGATAAGTTTTATCTTAATAGTACAACAATTTCTGAGAAATAGAGAAAGAAGGATTTTAAAACCTGGCGATTAAAACTTCATTTTATCACTTTTCTGACCGAGAAAGGAAATTAGACGTTTATGCCACAACTGGAGTGACTCACCCATGTCTTCCTTCTCCTGGGCTCCAGGACTGAAATTCAAGAACAGTAGAGCTGCAACTTATACAGTGCTGTTTGAGTATAAATTGATACAATTTTTTTTCTGAAGAACAAAACTAACAAATACCCTACAGTTCAAAAACCTTGGAAATGTATATATACTAACGATTCTACTGCTTGGAATATATCCAAAAGAAATAATCAGATAATCCAGGCAATTAAAATTGAATCAACCTAAATGTGAACTGTGAAAGATTGATTAAATAAATTATGTTATATCCAGGTGGCCATCACTGCTTAATTCCAACCATGAACAATTATCATTATTGTCAATTGTTCTAAGTTAAGGTGATATGGAGCCATTATTCTTGATCAGCATCCCTTGGGAGAGCACACAGGTAGTCTGTGTGGGTGGTCTATACTTCATACTTGATGAGATTCTTCAGTATGTGTGTCTCATCGGCTATGTCATATGCAGACGCTGTCCCACTATGGTACATAATGGCTGTTTGCCACCCATGTTCCTCCAATGGGAAGGTTCTGTTTGGTTACCAAGTAGGAAGTTACTTTTTACACTTAACGGGATTTTAAATATCAATAGCATAATAAGATGGAAAGAAGAGATAAACTGTGTTCACTATAGGTGGCCGGTAAAAATCATCTTTGCTTTACTTGTGCCCCAAAGAGAAAAAGATAAAAACTACTTCACATCTGTCAAAAAGAAGCAGAGGTATGAGTAAGGATTTTTCAGAGAATTTTATAAAGCGACCACAATCATGAAATTAAATTTTCCTTCACATATAGGTTATATGTTTTTTTTTATGAAAGCTTTTACACTTACTCCAAGTGTTATAGTGAGAATCAATTGAAGCTAGAAATTCTCACAATTTTCATGGAGTGCTACCCTTCAAGGTTTCAAACGTCTGCTCATTACAGTTTTAAATGGATTTATTTAAATCTAGCATTTATTTCCCTTCTTCTACCTGTAAATAATGCATTAGTAACATCAAAAATTTGTTTTGGTGAAGATGCTATTTTCTTACAGAACAGCTTTGGGGCAGTAGTCAAAATTCTCTTATTAACTCACTCTAGGAGTATTTCTCTCTACTTGAAGAGATGACTGGCCCTTGTGCTACCCAGCAGGAGGTATGTGACCTTGATGCTCTTTGTTTTCCAGCAGTGCCCAACAGAAGATATTAAACAAATGTTTGTAGCAGGAAGAATTCTCTCCAAGTAAGTTGACCTATTCATTGTTCCCTGAGTACATTTTGTTGCTTATCGCTGTCTACAAAGAGGCTACCACTATTTCTCTTTTTTAAAAACACATTGTCTGTTCCATTCCCAATTTAACATGTTTTCTTACATAAATCATCTTCATAATTTCATGCATTTCATTTCAGTATTGGGTTTTCCTTATAAGCAACAGACACCAATTCTAGTTACCAAAAGTGAAAGAGAACTTATTTGGAGAATATCAAGATGGGGCTGTAGGCTCACATGATTATGAGGAAGCTGGTAGCCCAGCCTTTAGGCCATGAGAGCCATGATTCAAGAGAAACCACAAAGGGCAGGATTAAGGAGTAGCAGCCATGCTAACTTTCCAGTTGCTGGAACAGAGTGGCCAGGGTCTCGTCATGGTGACCCTCGTTCTTGAGTTATGCACGTCCCTCGCAAAGTCGTAGAAGTAAAAATCTAACTGACAGGCTTAGGCTGTAAGCAGAACCTCCTACTCTACTAGAATTCCAGCAAAAAGAATGATTCAACTCCCCGTACCTTTCTAGAAGGCAGGGAGCAAGGAGTAGCATGGAATTCACACACAAGGAGAGGGAGGGGATTTCCAAAAAAGAAGTTGAGGGGTCATTAGGAAGAAGCATTAGATTATTAGTTTCTGAAGCATAGAAATAGCTTTCTACAGCTTCGTCTGTTAAAAGGGCCTGCTAATGCCTTGGAGAAGTATAGATGGTCAGGACTTTGCTGACAGAAAGGAAAAGAGGGACAATGAAAGAGATGATATTGACATTTATTGAAACTGTATAACTGGGCTACAAGTATCTATGAAAACAGTTGCTATTCTGATGTCCAAACAAATCAAAACCAGGTAAGCAGACCCATCCTGAAGGCTCTCTCATAAAGCCTGTGTTCCATGTGCACTGAGGCTGTGCTCGAGCTGGAAAGCTCACACATTAACAGAGTGTGTATGTAACATACTCTTAATGTAGTATCTGCTACAGGTACTCAGTGAGTAGTAATTAGTTTCAGTGGTGGTTTATTATCACAGTTAAGGCTTTTCCACACATGCAGATATGGGGGTCTAAGTTTGCCTTTTTACATGCCCTCTAACTGATCACCCAGATTGCTCAAAAACTCCACAGAGGAAAGATGAAACCCTGTATTTAAACCTTTTTCCAATGTGGGGTTAAGGTAAGCCTCTTTGGTGATTCTAGGGTGATCTAGCAAGTATCAAACTGGCTAAATTAAGTGATGGAAACTATTTAAAAAAATTATACAATGAATATTCCTTGTCAGCTGCTAAGTTTGAAAAGCATAAAACTAATAAATGAGTTAACAACATAAAAAACCCAGTCTTCCCTACTTCCAGAAAATTTGACGGGAAGAAAATGCATTCACTGGATTCATTTAATATAAGGAATATTTTCAGTGTTCTGGCTTTACTTAGTCATCTCTTCATTTCAGAGTTAAGCTCTACAAATAAAGAGAAGATGACAGTGCCAGGAAACTGGCCTCCATCCCCCCTTCCTGTGACTGTGCCTGCTGCCCGCATGCTGACCAAAGGTGAAAGGTCAGCAGTCATCTGTGGCAGATGTGCTTCATTATGATAAACACTTGGATGCTGGAAATGGTTCTGTTGGCAGATAGTTTATAATTTAGGTGAGAAATAGAAGTGTGAGGGAGCTTCCCTGCTGGGAATCTTATTTCATTTTTGAGTGCAATTAACCAGCTGATAAACAGGCTTTGTTTTCCATCTGAATGGCCAATGTCCATTCATTTGGGACAGTATCTTGTCAAATAGGCAACAATAACAATTAAGTTTATGTATCTTGGCTCTCTTCTACTCTAAAATCTGTAGTAACCTCCTGCACTGGAATCAAGAACCTGAACTGAGTGTGCAAAATAATTATCTTCCAGAATCCACCTGATGGTGAGGCTGTGGAAGATTACCTTGTTTTGCACTAGCAATAAGGACTAAAAATGTCTTTTTATTTTGATGGCTTCTTATTTTAGTATAATCAGAACATGACTGCAAGCCCTAGTATTCTACATTTCACAGGCTTATATAGCTTAAACATGAAGAAGTAAGATAGGCATTACACATTTCAAAAGATAGTCTAAATCTTAAAAAGCATATGTTATTGTCTTATCTGAATGATCTTGTATGATCTTGTAGCCATTTTCTAATCAGTTGTTAACTAGCAATGCTAAGGACTTTTTGTCATCATTTAATATTTTACTGTGAACTGTAAATTTTGCATTTTCACTTTATTTTTTCTCCTCACCTGTACACTTTTCCAGTGTGCCATATTCATCTTTTTTTCCTAAATAATAAGATTATTTGTTCCTGTTTTAGCTGAATGTAATATTCTCATAAATGAAGATGACACATGATTGTGTTTATTTTCTCACAGTGATGATTGAAAAGAAAAGCCACCTATATCCTCTTGCTTAGTTTCCCTTGAGAAGAATAAGCAAAGTGAGCTGTGTAGACTTGTAACCATGGGACAGATTTACTGTGTAATGTTCACAGCTTTGGCAAGGTAATTATTATTGCAACACAACTTCTGGTAAAATGTGTGGAAGAATGGAAATTATACAACTAGCTTGTATGTATTGACTCAGATATGACTGGATCAGTTTAAGAAGGGAAATTAATGTAGATTTTCATTTATTCCTCAGTTAACATTTATTGAGCACTACTTTGTGCTACTTACCTAAGGATAGAAATATGATTAATGTATGGCTTCAGTGCTCAAAGACTTAATAGTCTGGAGTGTTTGGTTGGACTGGTAGTAGCAATAGGTAGACAGTGGTGATGACTGGTGATGATAATTGTTGGGAAGCAAATATATTGCCTGGGATCTGTATATAGGCATAACATGGGAAATACACACTAGTTTAATTTCTTAAATTATTTCATCTATTACCAAAGATTTGCTTAAACATGATATTGCTTAATTATTGATGCCTGTCACTCTTAAATCTCATTTACATTTTAATGCACATCAAGGTTCTCAAAAAGTTTCAAAGGCCAGACATAGAAGAGTGGGATCAAACTTTAGTCAAATATAGGAAACTTTTCTCGGCTCCAACTCTCTCTGGGAAGGTGCTTCATACTCTATAAGAAATATGCTCATTAGCATAAAGGACATAATTTTCTTGTGGAGATGGGACATGCATATATATAAGTATCTCAATAATATACAATGTTCGTGTGCACATACAATGCTCTTGCACATTCATCTACATTCAGAGTGAATCATCGTGGCATAGACCACACATAAAAAGTGATACTTCAGTTCTAAATAGTAGATCATTATGTTCTAGACTTAGTCACAGAGAAGGTCATTGTTAAATTCAACATAAAGTGAAGTATTGAACTTATTTTAGCAAAAAAAGGGAGGAAAAGATATGCATATTCTCAGAATTGAAAATAGAGAAAGGGAAGAGAAACAATAGTTTGGTGAATAATTTTAGGAAGTGTAATATCCACCCAGCACTTTCACTTCAGACAAAGAATCTATTTTCTTCAGGTTGAAATCTTTATGATGAAGAATGACTGTTTACAATGTATTTACTTTCTAGCAACAATCTTTTACAGTATCACTGACTCTTGACTTCTCTTGTTTAGCACTTCTACACTTTATCTATTAACTGTGTTTAGTAATTACCTATTAAGAACAGAGAAATATTTGTAGACTTCTACTTGACTAGCACTGGACCAGGCTTTACAGAGCAGAGCAGAAATGTAAAACATGATCCTTTCCAAAAGGCTGTTGTAATATTATTGGGTAGTCTGGTCTCTGGCAATATATCTGAAAATACAATTGCTGTAATATGGAGAGGAACATGCTTTTGGAAGACAAGAGCTTATATCTAAGCACATTTTAGAAACTGGAGAAAAACACAGTATCAGAAAGCAGGGGCCCCAGCTTCTGGCTGGTATCTCTGGGAACTTTGCACTTTGCATGCCTTCTACCTTGTTAAGGTCCTGTCAGGGGGCTAGGACCTATAGGATCCAGTAGTGCCATCCTGGCCAGGCACCCTGAGTTAAAATCATAGTATTTTTTTCATGGGTTCACATGAGATTGAGTTGCAAGTACAGTGTTGACATGTTGATTTTTGGGTGACTCATTCACTTTATTCACAGGTTGAGCTCAGAGCTCTAGGCTACTAATGGTCCATCTCTGACTCTTAGGCATGAGCCACATATGTGGGCCACACCTGTGTTTAGATCACGTGTTCCCTCTGATCTACACCATCCGATGATGGCAAGAGATGACCTTTATTTTGTGTGCTTCCCCCACCTATCCCTAGTTGAATCCCAGGACAGTTATACTACTCTTTCTACAAGCTTCTCACTGTATGTCAGACAGGCCTCTGCAGGTAGCTGTATCTGTCTCCTCAGAGAGCTTTCCAGAATTGGGATCCTTGGTGCTAATCAGCCCTTCTGCTCAAGGTTCTCTCTTGCCTATGATTGATGTGGTAACATAATCTCCTATGTTAGACTTAAGCCTTGCTGGAAATGGTATAAACATTCCTTGTGTGAAGAGGGCCATTCTTTTTGCTCAGTTCAGGGGACCTTGCCAATCCTCCCTACTGGTAGCAATATGTGGAAGGCAAGGGTATGGTCAACATGGAAAGGTATTACATTCTGGAAATGTAATAACTTTGGCTAAAGATTTCAAGGAAAGACATATTTGGAAGATATGTTATTCTATGTTTAGGCTGTAAAATTCTCTATGGTAAAATAAAAGTACAGAAAATGAATGACAATTCACACTTTCCTGTCTACTCTTGAGTAAGGCTTGCATTTATTTGTGGTTGTCATGAATGAAGCATGGTTATAACCATTAATAGCACAGTGAAGCCACTGGGTGATGCAGCGTCATACATAACAATGTAGCAAAATCAGTGGTATTGGGGAACTGCAGTAGCAAGAAGATCTATATTGTTTCAATACAAACACATTCTGAAGAGCTATGGCTGTATGAATAATAATGTCATTGTTGTCTTTTTCATGTAGAGGGAGATATGAAATGATTTAGGGAACATTAGACAATAAATAACATGAGATTTTTCCTGAACCAGAACAAGAAGAGATGTGCCTGGACACTAAGAAGACTCTTCACATGCACTAATTGGACAATAAGCACATATGTAACTACTTCTCTCCCCATTATTCTGTCTTCATTTCTACCTCAGATGGGCCCATGATCTATGTGATACATTTTAAATATAATTGCTTATGTAGACAGTGACCCTACAAAAATATTTGCCCAGGGCCCCTCACAGATAGGCATAGCCTTGGAGGAACACATCAAAGAAAATCATAGACTATATCAAAACTCTTCTTGAAGGAATTCTCAGCTTAATCAGTCCTGCTTCCCTAAGAACAGTCATTGTATTTTTAATGCTGGACTTTGTGATTTCTTATATCAATTGACTGGGCTCAGAAAAACATTTTCTGTCAGATGAATATGCATGCTAGTAATTTTGAGATATGTTCTTTCAAAAAATAAACAAAATAACAGTGGTTTACCATCTCATCTTCATGAACGTAAATTCAGAGCCCAAATTCACCAAATTTATGGTGGCTGTACTGAGGTTAGTTCTATTACAGTCTTCATTGTTTGTTTTGTAGCAATGATTCCATGAAATCCACACCTTGAAAAGAAAAAAATTGGTCAAGTGAAGCGTTCAAGTAAGCATATTTTGTACAATCTGCCAGAGTTCATGAGTAAAAAATATGGAAACAATAAATGCAATGTAGTCAAATACTCAGCATGATTTTGTTTCAGTAGGGACTTATAGTTGTGGAATATATACTATATCTGCAGCATAGTTAACGGTAAATGTTGTTAATGATGACCTGGACTGCTAGGCTATGAAACATCAAGGACAAATGATATTGTTTGGGGATATTAGATGATAAGATAAGAGAGCACATGACTATGACTTTGAAAAATTTAGAGAGAAATTTAAATTTTAAGTGAGTTATTGGATAACTAGAACACCTATACCAGTGTACTTTGGCTAATTAGGGCTGTCTTTAGATGAGAAGCTGACATTGTCAACATAGGGCAATCCCACAAACATATCCATATAACCACGAGATAGCAGACATGATTCAGACATTCAGACATTTATAAAAGTCATTGATCATCCACTGGGTGCTCAGTGCTACATATTCAGACATATTTATAAATTGTTCAAGTTAGTGGAGTACACACATTGATGTGCTCCCATGCCAGAGAGCCAGAGGTCTAACCACAGAAAGTACAACTGTTTTTGGAGTAATTGTCACAATCATTACTTTAATACTATGTTTTATTGCAAATGTTAGACTTCAGATTTCATATGTCCTTAATGTTTAAATTCTTTTCCCAAAAATTATTTAGATACAGTTAAAAGCTCACTACAAGGAAAAATCATAATCTAGATTATTATTACTCAATGAATTAAAATCTGTGTTTTCTGTACATTTTATAATCCTGGCTTAAAAGCCAATGAATGAATCCTGTGATACTGCCAAGAAACCAAAAAATTAGTAATCACTCTAAATTACAGATCAATTTCTTATCATAATTAGTTTTTCAATTTGCTAAAGAAATTAAAAAGTTTCCTTGTTTTCTTCCTTTTTAAAAGAAATTTTTAAAATAAAACAAGTTATTTGTGATGATTTCAGTTGGTACATTTTACATGTCTTAAGGGAAAATTAAACAATTTAAAATAAAACCATGAATAAAATAAATGGTTAATGTAATGTTTCTTCCATCATAATATGTAGAATTTTTTAGGCACCCAACTGCTCATTGATTATTTATAATTTTTAAAGGACCATTTTACAGATTTTAATTTTTGTTTCATAGGCCACATAAAGATGGATAGACTCTTGTAAAATGACCAAGAAAAACCTCTGATCATACTTGATTCTTATAGTCGTCAAAGGATGTTTGCTTTCCAAAGAATTATTATACTTCCAGCTTGCTTGCCTTAGGGAATGTCAATTAAATCCAAATAATTTTATGACTGATATTTTGCCATTTTTAGAGACAGGGTAAGTGAACTAGAACTGACAAAAATCAAATGAGAAATGAAAGAATAAAGTTTGATATTTACCTGTAAAATGCTTATTTTTTAATTAAGCATTGGTTTACCCTTCCCAGATGTCCCCATTTGCAGATGCCTATTAAAAAATAAGCTGTTTTCATTTCCTGCTAGTACACAATTTAGTTTCTTTTAATGTGTGCTTGTGTTCAGTGCTATAAGAAGAGCTTTGTGTTATCTCTAATATCTAGTAGTTATAGAGAATCATTTATGGTGTGTGTGGCCTGGTTCTTAACAGTCTATCAATTCATTGAATTTCCTGAATTTCAGAAAGACAGCAATTGATTCTTTGTGCTGCCTGGCAGAGCAATTCTTAATTTTTGTCTGTTTCTTCCCAACACCAGTCTTAAGAAGAAAAGGTTTTCCTTATATTGCCTTGAAGGGTTTACTGAATCATACTTCACCAAGAACATTTTAAAGCTTTATT